ACGATAACAGTAGGTGGCTACCTAAATATCAGTGTATGGTAGGCTTTAGACCTTTAGGCTTCAGTCAGCAGGATATTTTTCCCCAATGGGAATTCTCACCTCTTGCTCATATTCCCCTATACTTTCTGTCTCGGTGACAATTTTTCACCAGGACAAATAGCTGGTCATTGTCACCATCCAGACACAGACCATGAAAAAATCCCAAAACTTGGCAGAAGGTCTAACCCTTAACCAATCAATCTAAAACTAAAAAAACAGTGTTGCCTTTACATATGTTTTACCAGCATTTCTTTCAGCAATGGTAACATTTCAATGTAAATTCACCCTAAAACAACAATATGATTCTTTTAACTGGGCCACATTTTTTTTCTTTCATCTGTCCTTTTGTTCTGTTTCAGGCTTGCAGATTGATCAGAAGACAGTGACCTCTTATCCTCAGGTTATACTGGTTCGGGTCCCAACTCCTACCGTGCAGTCGGATAGTGATATAACCGCTCTGCGACACCTTGAGAAACTGGGCTGCCGTCTAGTGAATCGCCCTCAAGCTATTCTAAATTGCATAAACAAATTCTGGACGTTTCAGGAGTTAGCTGGCCATGGAATTCCTCTGCCCGATACATTCTCCTATGGTAGGTTCTAGATTCCATGGAAATGAATCACTGGTCTGGATCTTTGGAAATGTTTTAAAGTGTACCCATTACCTATACAGGAAGCAGATACTAACAATATACATCACTGTAAAAAGAGGCACCAATTCCAACAAAAGAAAGAAACCGTCTGTGTGTTCACAAAGGGTACCCACAGGCATGAGATAGTTATTGCGTGTTCCATCTCCTCTTCTTTCCTAGACAATATGCATGCTTGAGTGATATGAGCATACATGTTAACTCATACATGGAATGACTTGGCAGTTGTAATGTCTGGCCTTCATATAACACAATTATGGCCAAAGGTGCTGGGACAAGGTTCTCTGGCACTCAAGGAAAATATGCCAAAATAACTCCCACCATTGTGAGGTGACATATATAGAGTTTACGCATCTGCACATACAGTGTACTAAAATGACAACTGCTGTCTATCAGCCCCAGAGCTGCCGCCTTTTGGTCCAAGGATAACCAAACAAGATGACCACAGTGGAGCTCTGATGATTATACTGGGAGAGCCACCCTCCCAGTGTTATCTGCAGAGATTGGCTGTCAGTTTGACAGCTCAGTCCTACATAGAGTGTAGGAGATAGCTCAGCCACTAAAGGCAGAAGAGGGTCCTACTCCATGAAAATACTTGGCTCAAAATTAGCATTCCAATTCATGGGGTGAGGTCAGGGTTTTGTGACGGCCACCCGAGCTTCTCCACACCATACTTAACAAACCATGTCTTTCTGGAGCTGGCTTTGTGCACAGGGGCAAAGTCGTGCTGGAATAGAAAAAGGCCTTCACTAAACTGTTACCAAAAGGTTGGAAGTTCACAACTGTCATTCACTTAAAACACCTGAACTCAATCAATTCAAGAGGGTGTTTACATACTTTTGGCCATACAGAGCAGTCATTCCCATGCAAGTGGTATGGCGGTTATAAAATGGTTTGCCAGCAGGTTTTTCAAAGCTGCCTCCAGGAATAGGGCCTACCAAGATCTCCTGGAAATAGTTTAATCTCATGTATGTGCTTGACATTTATTGAAAAGTTATTAATTTCAAAACAAGTACAGATCAGGAGGTTTCAGACTGTACTTCTCCGGTAACATATGCACATAAGCATCTACAACAGAGATAGGGTCTCGTGCCTTTTTGCATACAATAATCAGAGGGCATTGCTTGAAGTGTCCCTTTCTTATTTTAACAAAGTCACCTCCTTGGTGTTCCTCATGTTGTCATTGGTTGAAGTTCTGGTCCAGCAAAGGCCTTCCAATGCTCCTAAAACCCAGAAGGTGAGGCACGCTCTCAAATAACATTTACTTAAAAGTCCTTTTTCCTTTGGTAGAATATATTATTTGTATCCCAAAGTAACCGAATTACCATTTTCTCTGAAGATTAGCATTACAGCTGAACCTTTGTCTATTCTGTCTTGAGGTTCACACAGCTCCATCACACAGCACCACTTTCTCTGCTACAGTTATAGACAGTAGAAGGGATATAGATGTGTCCTCGCTCTCTCCAGTTTGTGAATAGACAGTGAAGGAGCACCAGCAGACTGGTGAGGTCATCTTTATGCTCACTCAGCTTGCTCCTTGTCAATACATTTGCATGCAGCTCACTTGATTGACTGCAAGAGGCTGATAACAAGCCAAATTTAAACACATACACAAGTTGCATTTAAAAAACAGTATTTACATTTGTGTCTTCTGTATCTGCCTGGAGTTGAGCCTCAATGTACCATTGCGTGCAAATGACAGGTCCACTTTTATGCAAACATGTTAGTGCAGAAGGAAAATGTCTGCCAAGGTGTCATGTTCTATGCAATGGATGTATAGCTTGGAGGCAGAGGGGCCAGCGAAGTGGTTAGTATTTCACACTTTGTTCTCGTGACGAGAGCTATCAGATAATGTTTCTAAAGCGCTGAGTGAACAGAAAAATGCAGGAAAACACTTATAATGTTTTATATCTTTATTTATCTGTCATATTATGTCTCTGGGCTGTTCTGTACCGCCCATCCTAGTGTTTCTCATGAGGACACACAAGCAGATCAGCTTGACTCTAGTGTGTGACGGATCTCCTGAACATATCTGAACAGAGAGGTAAAGGCACTGCCTTGAGTGGCCAATGAGATTTCAGGTTCAATGTTCCCAGTGTAGGTTATACGCTGAAAGCTGAAACCTGATAGGTTGCCATAAGCTACAGTCCAGTGTTTCCATTGATCCAGTTTTCAAAGATTCGTGATTTTGCCAACCAAATGCTTGCAGTATACTTTCACATTTGCTGAATGACATCCTGTTAACAACCACTAATCCACTGGAAAACCAACCAACCATTTAAAGGGCTACAATGGTAGCTAAATGCACATTTTTTCAAACATCTTCTACTTTATCTTGTAAATAGTAAGCGTGTATATTGATACACTGAGCGGTATAACACAATATGACAAACAATACAGTGGTAAATGGGAAATTATTGTGATTGGCCCTGATCCCATAGCTCCTGCTTGAACAGAAAAAATCTCCACAATCCATACAGTAGATAATGATTTATCCTGGACACTGAAGGCATGGGGAGCTCTTCTGATTAATCACCTAAAATGTAATCAAATGTAAAAAAAACAAACACAAAATAGACCAGAGCCAAAAAAGACCCTCTTTACGATCAGAGGATGATACTGTTTGCAATCCAGGAATGGCTGCCCCGTTTCAGACAAGGGATGCTTTGCACTGCATACAACAACACCGGGCGCCTTTCCTGGTGCAATGAAAACTTTTAATCATTTAAAACATATATAAAACTATATATGTACTCACAAGGAAAGAAAGGATATAAGCAGCAATAGATCTATGTCCTTAGTGACTGTCCTGAAAATGATGCAAATCAGAGGACAGTTCAGAGGATCCGTTGATCAACAGAATCACACAGACTCCGGACAGCTAAACGCGTTTTCGGTGGCAAACCCCCTTCTTCAGAGCTAAGTCTGCTGCTTATATCCTTTCTTTCCTTGTGAGTACATATATAGTTTTGTATATGTTTTAAGTGATTAAAAGGTTTCACTGCAACAGGAAAGGCGCCCGGTGTTTGTTTTCTTATGTTAAAAAAACGTAAGCTGGGCATATACAATTCGAATTTTGTTTTAAAAAATTGTTTTTGGAACGTATGTTCGGTTTTCTAATTGTTAATGGGTTCATATCAACCATCAGTTTCAATGAGTTCAGTATCCAATTCTTTGTAGATATTTTAGGATGATTCTTGTTTGGTGATACACTCTATAATATATGATCAGCATGCTGCCCACCCAGCCATCCGCTGGGTGATAGCCGTTCGCACTCCATTCGTGCCACTAGATGGACTCAAGGAACATAGGAAAAAAGAAAAAAGAAACTGCAGGAGCTGCCCACAGAGGGGGTCTTATAGGCCAGATCAGCTCCTAAAAAAATGGCACCTGGAATCTCATTGGCCACAAATGACAACAGGTGCTTGTCCATTCCTCTTCAGCTAAATAGGAACTGTAGAAAGGGTTTATGGAAACAGGTACAGGGGTAACAGGCATGATGGTGGACCGGTTTATCCTCTTGTTGGATGGTCATTGTTGTGATTTGTTTCCTGTAATACAGATTTTATTTTTCTAACATTTTAGGTGGCCATGACGAATTTTCAAAATTGATAGATGCTGCAGATCCGCTTGGGTACCCTGTGGTTGTGAAGAACACTCGAGGGCATCAAGGTATTTCTGCTTTTTTATTTTAGAGTAGCTGGACGTTGAAGGGCAGTATATTGTACATCTCTAAAGCCGCGTATACATGTATACAGTATATTTTCTGCATTCAACATGCTGGCTGAATGGTGAAAATGATGGCGGAATCCCCTGCGGTTTTCCATTGTCAGAATACCCGAACAAAACTTGTAGCTCATTGGCTGCAAACTTTGTTTGGCCAAGAATTTCCCTAACTTCTGAGCGGAAGGGTGCTGACAGTGGCACACACTGTGCAGATTTTGGCCGGTTCATCAGGAACTGGCCAAAATCCATTATACAGTATGTGTAGTGCCCCCCTGACCCCCAGAGGCCTGAGGTGGACGCCCAAAGGTAGGGAGGGTTGATATTTCACTCTCAGGGGTGAATTTTTAGCCAAGTTGTGGGGCTTGAACAGTAAATTGGGCGTCAGTTACTTTAAGTGCCTTTTTAAATGCTTTATTGTAGAACAGCCAAAACTGTGAAAGAGAGTATAGGGCTGCAGACAGACATCCTAGCAAAAAGAGACAGACTCCGGACTCACCAATGCCAACCAGCTTCCACAGTGTAGGAATACTTTAGTAGAACAGAGGATGACACTATGCAGTAGAAAAACAGCTGAATAGGGATGTGCGTGAGAGAGACTTGTTCCTGATGTCCATGCTATCTCCTGGTACCTCCAGTAGTCATAGGGATCCTCTGGTTCTCCTCCCCAGATAGTTCCAGACCCCACCTGGGTCCACATGTGTCTTCCTCCAAACTCGAGGCCAGTCAGTTTCTCCTAACACAAATCAGCCAGACTGATTACAGTGCTAGCAAGACTAAATTTTAGTAGCCACTGCACTTATAGTGGTAGGGGCAACACATATATACCCTACTTAAAGGAGAACTATGGGGTTAAGGCTTTTCCCCATAGTTCTCCTTCGGGTAACGGGAGGACACAAACTAGCGTCCTCCTGTCACCCTAGGCTCAGCTACAGCTTGCGGTATACTGAGACGCTGCAGTATACCGCAAGCTGCTGCTCGCGGTATACTGAGGCGCCGCAGCTTAAGCGGATCCCAACAATTATGTCTGGATCCGCCCAGCTGCGTGACTGACAGCTGGCTCTGCCTATCTAGAGGCAGAGCCAGCTGTACCCGCCCCTCCCCCATCCGTTCCGCCAGTCAGCGCTGGCGGATCGGAGCGGGGAGAATCCAGCCCCTCCCCTGTCACGGCAGAGAGCCGTGACAGGATCGAGAGGTGAGCGAACGCCGGTATGCTTTCGCTCACCTTGCGATCTACTAAGCCGACCTGTCACAGTCTCATTGTCACAGGCTGGCTAAAACTATGAGGTGAGTGAAAAGCACTCACCTCATACTTCTCCTTTAAGGGTATTTATTTGCAGAACTCCAGGCGAAGATAAGATAAACATGAAGAGCACAATAAAAGGTAAAATGGCTGCATTTGACTTGTGTTTGGCAGCCTTTTCATGCCAAGCACTGCGCCTTTTATCTGAACACATGCATCTGACCAGCACTGTGCTCGTATGAATAAGGCTGCATTTGACAAGAACACCTTTCTACGTGTGCCCGTAATAACATTTTGTAATATCCCTTTGTGTGAGTTTCTTAATTTAAAATGTATCTTACCAGGATAATAAGAATTGTAAAGGGAGTTTCAAGTGCTGATAATATGTCATGATAGACGTTGTTATTTTAAGATATACCATGGGATTGAGTCATCAACAAATAAGTTATTTTCAACAGGGATGAGTCACCTGCCATACAATAACAGGAGATAAAATCTCATTCAGCTCCCGTGTTATGGCGGCTTCTACTAGCGCACTAGAATGACTGAGAAAACATGGACTCTGACTCCAGCAATACAATTCCCCATTGATAAAATTAGAACCAGCACTGAAAGGCAGCTGTTCGGAAATTAAAGGGAATCTTCACTTCTATGTATCCCACAATGTATCTTTATTTTCTTTGTTGTATGATCCTGGTCATTTGTATCCAAGGTCAGATCCTGGTATCCAAGGTCAGACTTCCCTTGCTTCTTCGGAAACTGAAATCCTATGTTAATAGTGATATTATGCAATTACAACCTTTTTGTGTATTTTTCCTTTGCAAGCATAACTTTAAAGCAGAAGTCCAGTAAAAAATACCATGATAAAAACTAAGTGTGCTTTAACCCTTTTGCTGGTAAGGCATTTTTTGCGTTGTTTTTTTGCACATTAATCCACATTTTTGACCTAAAAATGACTTAAAACTCCAGAGATTTATACATTTCCTGAAAGCACAGACCCTGTAGAATATAATGGCAGCAGTTTAAAATGTTTGCGGCCATATTGACTGGGGCAACTCAGATGAATAACATGCTGGATTAGTCTGACCCTAGTTCATTATCATACGTTATTGCTGTGTAGTACGTGTATAGGGAAATGGCGCGTATGGCGCACGTGCACTACAGCCTTCTCGGCCAAACCTTTTACTTCTAACTAAACCGGAAGTCAGGTCGTTAGAGATCTCGATGAGTTGGAACTTTCGATAGAACACTGGCTCCAATCAGAAAGGAGGAGATTGGGGAATAGATCTCAGTCCCTGACCTGCAGGAGGGGCAGAGGAGCCCAGGAAGCAAGGTGGGGTGGGGGGGGTGGGGGGGTCGGGCACGCTTCACTGGCCCCTGGAAGCGATTTGACAGTAGCTTAGCTGCCAGAATCGCTTCCAGTGGAAAGCTGACAGTTGGCTTTATACATGTGAACCGCTTGGAGTCTGTTTACAGGGACCCTGTATACATCGTTGGCAGCGTAAGCGTTAAAAGATAAAACAACAAAAAACTGTTTTTGCTGCAATATTCACCTTCATTTCAGAGGTTATCTTCAACCTCACCCCAGTCTGTGACTGGACAGTGAATGGAGAAGCAGCACAGTGATGAGCTCATCTCTCTGCCCCCTATCAGTGTGGTTCTTTTCAGCAGCTGCTTGACTGCTTAGCTAAACCATTATATTTTTATTTTATATTTTTATTTTACTTACAATTTCTATTTTGCCACTACCTGCTCCACTTTGTCACAAATTATGTAATGTGCCCTAGCATTGCATCCTGGGAAGGCAGCAGCGCATTGCTGGGAAAGCTCATCTGTAATCTCACAAGATTTCAGGGAAAGGTGATTTCCTCCCCTGAGATGATGTGCATGGTCACATGTTCTAGTCATGTGTGCCAGAGTTCCAGGAAGCAAAGGGACATCTAGTAACCTGCCCTTAGGTAAAATGGCCACTGTCAGAAATAAGGTGTGCAAAGAATACAAAGCCGTCAATTATCTAGAAGTATGTGTTTGTAGATTGTTATTACTAAACATTCCTAAAGGTGTGTTTGTTGTTATTTTTAAGATATGGGTAAAGGTCCACTTTAAAAAAAAAAGTTCTGATAACCAGAATAAGCTGAAACAGTACTAGGTGTAGGTGTTCTGAGTCATCATATATCAGGCAATTCTTTAAATACCAATGGGGTGAAACGTTCAGGCCTGCGTTCATGGAGAAATAATAGTCCTCGCTTATTTACCCATGGGCCTATCCCTTTTTGTCCTTATTAGGGATGTTCAGATACGAAGTACCATACTCGGGACAAGTACATGTACAGATACTTTTCCAGCTCTGAGACTAGACTAGAGAAAAATTCAAAAGTTAGGAGGCCGCTGTCATTTGTAAGGCGCACACGGATCTCCTGGGATTTGTGCACCCCTGTTTTAATGTATGATTTCGTTTTTTAATTTATATATATATAAGTGATGCACTGTTGTGGAAATTTTATTAGGATGTGTTTTTACTGTATTGTAATATTGTCATCATGTCTCCCTGTGTTGGATTCAGCCGAGGGGCACACTAGCAGAGCGTACCTCGGTTAATTGGGACCAGCGGTAAAACCGCCAGTATTCAACCTTCTCATGGGCTTGGAGACATGTTCGCAGTGTGTGGGGCGTTTGATGGTTTGTGAGCATTAAGTGCAATGTGCTGGGCTTCTTGCCTTCAAACGTCTATACACATTAGTGAAACGGAGTCCGCATAACGAGACACATATTATATTTCTGTTACGGCTGCGCTATCCCTTTTTGGATACATATCTGCTTTTCGGGAAGACATTGATAACTGCCTTGCCAGTATACTCGTACCGTATATAGATAACAGCATTAACAATGTCTCCGCAGATAGTCTCAAACCTATAAGAACAAGTAGAATGATCATACTCTGAACAGTATTGAACGGGGTCCATGCTGGCCAAGATGGCGGCTGTGCATACATGTGGCAAGGATGAGCCATGCTCTGCTCTCCTTTTCTGTTGTCACTTCCTGTGATGTCTTTGTGCATGGAGGAAATGGCAGGCTGTTGGCGCCACCCTTTCCTGTTGTACACATGTGTTTCGTTGGCTGGCTATGATGTGTTGATGTATTGAGGAAGTGATGTCGGTTGTTGGCATCACTTCCTGTTTGGCATCACTTCCTGTTTGGCATCACTTCCTGTTTGACATCTATAAAATAAATGGAACTTCGGTGGAGGGGGCTCTTGGATCATGAAGCATCTTGTCTGACTCTGCATGAGTGTTGCCTTTCCTTGCACCAAAGAACTTAATACAACTACGTGCTTTTAAGCACGGGGAAATTGTTTGTGTTTGGCGCACTTTAATCGCGGCATGGATTTGTGCGTTTAGCCCAAGCAAATTTCCATAACAGCACCGATGCCATTTTTTCAAGAACTCCTACTTGTCCAAGTACTCACAGATACAAGTACTGATACATTTTTGTTTATTGTCATGTGACAGTTTTTCTAAAACAATACAGACTAATGATTTCAGGACAGTGGTGGAGCGCCAGAGCCGGGTCCCAGCTGCAACCGCTGCAATCCTGGTAGTTCTTGTGAAAATGCCAAGTATCGGCACTGGTATCTGAACTGGTATCTGAACATTCCTAGTCCTTATAATACTAAATTGTATTTATTTTACAGGCAAAGCAGTGTTTCTCGCACGGGATAAACATCACCTGCTAGACATATCTCACCTGGTACGCCATGACGCTCCATATCTGTTTCAGAAGTACGTGAAGGAATCACATGGGAAAGATGTGCGTGTGGTCATTGTAGGTGGACAGGTGATCGGATCCATGCTCCGCTGTTCTACAGATGGCAGGATGCAGAGCAACTGCTGCTTAGGTACATAGTTACATAGTTACATAGTATTTGAGGTTGAATAAAGACATTAGTCCATCAAGTCCAACCTATTAGGATCTAATTCTAGGAGTACCTGTACCCCTGTATATTACCTGTACCCCTGTATATTACGGTCCCTTAAGAAAAGTGCGTATGTAGAGACGAATATCACTGGTAATCCCAACCGCTGGGGGCCTTCACCCCCACTAGACCTTCATCTCTAGAACAATCATTAATATGGTGTTTTAGTTCAAGTACTGTAGATGTAAACCCAAACAATAAGGCCAGCTTCCTATTTGTGCTATAGGGCATACCCTTATGTTGAGCGCTAACGTGCATTGCGATAAGGCAGTCTATTAATTTGGAATGAATGGCAAATGCACCTAACCCTAACAAATCCCACAACTAACCCTTTTTTGGGAACCCGCTGCAGTGTGTTATCCTAGCACAATAGTGTGAACCGCCCCTCTAACTTTTACAAGCTTTAACGTGTTCATGTAATTTCAAGAGTAATTTTCGATATTTTTAAATCTGCAGCTTTCATGATCCTGCCATGAAGGTCATTGCTCAGGAACTTCCTGTTGGAGGTGACAGTGCTATGCTCTTTTTGCTCAATTGTGCTCCTGCATTGTCACCCTGTCACATGGGTTTCTGATGGGGACTACAAGTGGACATTTCAACACATTTTACACAAGCATGGTCCCCTGTTGTCACCAGCATTAGGAAGCCTGCCCTGAGAAATGCCATGCAGCCATCACTGGAGAACATGTAGGTAGGACGTAGCTGCTAAAAAGGCTGCTTGAGATGAGCAGCACTGAGATGAAACAAAGAATGAAAAAAAGGTAAAAACTGTATTTTATATTTAAAAAAAAAGGCAATTGTTAATAAAGTAGTTTAGCAAACTAAATGGCATTCAATTAGGGTTTACATCTACTTAACTGAGCATATGCATGCAACATATTCCTTAGGAAAAGCTACATGTCAACATGATTGTTAGAGAAAAAGGCTGATTATATGAAAATCTTGTTGTTTTTGCTGAAAAGGTCACACTTAGCACCACTTTCTTCTTCCTATCGAGCCCCCCTGTGGACCAGACAGGCTGACCATAACATTGAAGGACCAATAGACAAGCTCATAAGGGGAAAGTAGTATACTGGGTTTGACATTCTCAGGAAAAGTCAACATTTGCATATGCCTTCAGCCACCAATATCTCTGTATCTTCTTACCATTTTCATTTGTGAAAGTCACTGAAGGTTGCCTCTGCTTTTTTTCAATATCATATGCTCAGTTGAATTGCCTGGGTGCATGATAGGTTTGATTTCAATTAAAATTCCCAATCGCCCTCCCCAGTAATATTTTTGGAGGACTATTGGTGGAGAAAAAGATGGGACACCTTTTGTGTAAATGGTGCTAAAGAGACAGAAATGTTGTGCAGAGTCAAAACTTGACCAGGGGTTAACTATAGCAAATGGTACCATTACCAAATGGTAAAGCTGGAGTGGCGCCCAACCATGTAGTCAGAAAACAAAGCCGGGAGGCCAAGCAAGGAATGGAAAGACTAAGTCAGCAGCTAAGGTCATTCCAAGGAACAGCAAAAAGCCACTCTCTCAGAGATGCAACCAGGAGAAAACATGCCCTTAAAATGTAACACTTTGTACTGAATGTTTTGATCATAGAAAGTAAGGAGATCTTGCCAACGGGTAAAACAGATAGCAATAACTAGAGTATGTCTCTTCTGCAATAAAAAGCTTGGATGTTCACAAATTTGTATTTTCTATGTAAAGTTCCGCTTTAAGTAATATGTCCAGCCCAAACTTTTTTTTTCTGGCTCTGTTGCAAAACTGCCCTCACTTTGTCCAGTTGTCACCAGGACAGGAAGTAAGGGGAAATCTCTCTACTGGAACTCTTGATAGAAGTAAATTCCCGACAGAGGTTGGAACTCTCCACGTTATTCAAAAATAAAAATTTGGCTGGACATACAATTTCAATATCATTATGCAGTATTTCCCATTTACTTGATTAAATACACATAAGAAACATTTTACGTACTGAACATAGTAAGCTAATAATATATTAACACACAATACATTCTCCTGGGGGGGTGCCCGTGCTCCTTAAGGCCCCTTTCACACAGAAGGTCTGATCGGGTCTGTCTGTCAGGTTTTCAGGCGAATCCGATTGGATGCCTTTTCTAGTCTATGGGTAGCTGGGTCTAAACGGACATGCACCCATTTACATCTGGTTACCCCTGACTCCCGGCCAGGTCCAGATAAAAAAACGGAACAGAGTTCCCTTTTGCAGGACCTGATCATGCCAGGTCAGGGGTAATCTGATAAAATTTACATGCAATTCACCATAGACCAACAATGGGTCCGGTAATTTTAGTTCTTTCCTTCATAACAGGATGGGCATTGATGTCACAGTGGTGACATCTGATCCGTACTGCTCCAATCAGGAGAGGATGCGTGCACGGATCCCCTCCTGGTCAGCCTGTGTGAAAGGGGCCTAAGAGTCATTTTTGTTTTTTTACAACAGTTGATCTACTCATCTATGTAGTCGCTAGTGCAGGAGATATAAGCTTCAGTCCAGCGGAAGGAAGAAATGAAGATCTTATCCTGTGAAATGTGAAATAAACTTCGATTATCATAAAGCAAGTAAGGCAGATTTATTTTTAGCAGAGTCTGACTCATTATGGGCTGAGTCAGCTCTGCATTTCACATCATGGGATTCCCCTTATTACAAGTGTCAATTTATCTACAAGAAGGCTTTGGTTATTAAAGAATTAGAGAACCGGTTCACTCAACAAGTGAAATCCATCACTGAACAATATCCAGGAAATATATAATCTGCAGAAAAGCCAGAAATCCACTCCAGTTGCCTAGAGTTTTATATAACCCCATGCAGTAGGTCTGCAGCCTTCTGTCACATTGTGCTATGCGACATTCCTCTGATACTTCACGTTCTGATGAGTATGCAGTGAGATCAGGAAGAGGGAGGTGCTGGAATCAGGGAACACCTTAAAGATTTCCTCGAAATGCAATGCAGACAACATAGAGGGCAAAATAAGGTTATTTGTGGTTTGTAAGGGTGCAGTGGGCTTTAAACGGCTCCTGATGGATATGGAAGCTACATTCAACTAGGCTGGCCCTGTTTTGTGCCAAAATGGATCCTCATTAGCTGCATTATTTAACTTTCTTTTTTTTTTTTACTTCCTACAGGCGGAGTGGGTGCCACCTTCCCTCTCAGTGAACAAGGAAAAGTGTTAGCTATGCAAGTGTCTAGCATCCTGGGAATGGATATATGTGGCATCGACCTTCTCCTGAACGACAACGGTTCCTTTGTGGTCTGCGAGGCTAATGCAAACGTCGGTTTCACTGAATTCGACCAGGCCTGCCAGCTAGATCTTGGCGGCATTATTGCAGATTACGCAATATCTCTCCTCCCCAGCGGAGCATCCAAAGAGGCGCCTGGGATCCCCACTGCACCCGGCCCTCCAGAGATCGCCGAGATGCAACCAAGCGCGTCCACCAGCTCATTCAATGGCAGCGATGGATCGAGCTGTAGCCACGGTGTCTGTGACGTCAAGGAAATCAGGGATTTAAACCACGTGCCAAAGCCATGCAAATCTGCACTGACAGATGGCGTCTGTGATGGCGTCACAGAGTAAACCAACTACCTCTTAATTTTCAATGTAATTGAATGCAATCATCGGTCTCGGTGGCCAGCTAGGCTCAGTGGGGGGGCTTGTGGAGGAATGATGGGATGTATGTTCTGGGCCACTATGGAGGGGAAATATGTAATAATAATAATAATAATGCTGCTTCCTTTTGTCTCATCAGTGACTGTATCACTGATGGGATCGAACTTATTTTATTTGCACCTGTAAAACACCTGGGGGCTTATTTCATTGGGCAGCGCAAAGCCGAATAGCTCTTCTTGTTTTCAATGCAACAACACAGCAAACGCATCTTATCAAATATTATCAATCAAACCTCATGCCCATCTCATCTCACAGCAAGCAAATCTCATCTAATCTCATCAATCAAATTTCCTCTTCATGTCATCTCACAGCAATCAAATCTCATCAATCAAATTTCATGTTCATGTAAACATCTGAACAGTACCAGTAGTATAAACATAGGCCTTCCAAGTTCATAGATGCATATGGAAATGTGTCATAAGGCGACACACACCATCATTGCCTGTGCTCTTTCACAACAAAGCCAGATCATACACAGGGAGGCAGAAGCCTAGGGCCCAGTTGACCTCTAGGGGGCCCAGTTACAACTTTCATGATCCTGCAGTACACATGGGGGGATAATGCAATTGGCCAAAGCTGTGCACCTGTTTGTCATTTCACAAGGTAGAACGCACTTGTTGGCAGTGGATGCCAGTAATTCATATGGGGAAGCTTCGCTGTGCCTATTGGAATCCTTATGAATATCAATCAAAGATATAGGGGGGGGGGGGGCGGTAAAGCTGCTACCTTGCCCAAGGCCCTATTCTCCCAAAATCCACCTCTACTTCGCTAGAAAAAGCAAGCAGGCCCTCATTGCTCCCTAGATGGCCTTTGTAAAATGGAGCGTGAATGTGTTAAACCTACTATTGAGCCTCAAAATAGTGCCATACTGTACGTCATTACAGCTGCCATTCTTGGCACTGCTTGTGCTGTCTGTTGTTAGTTAACAGGTATCTCACAAATGCGGCTTCAAAATGACTATATAACACTACTATTGAGCCTCAAAATACAGCCTAAGCATGTTAATAATTAAACTGAAACAATACTCTTCCTTTCATTGCTAAGCAAAACTAGAAATTATATGATGCCAAGTATTAAAGTGTATCTCTAGCCAGTTTTGAAAGGGTTTGAACACCCTCTATATTTGTCTTGGTGACCACTGTCACTAGGACAACAAGCGATGAGAAATCCAAAAGTAGTCACTAGAACGGGAGTTGAGGGGAAATCTTCCACTGGGGACACCTGTTCTGGTGGCAGCTGAGACTACTTTTTACTTTCTATTATTTCTTATTTCTAATTATTGATTCCCCAGCAGAGACACAGACAGCCATAAAAAAATTTGAAGGTGTTCTAACCATTCCCTACTCTGTACAAAATAATAATTACAAAATAATAATAGGTTCGGGCCTAGAGATACACTGTAAGGTGCCTACAGACATTAGAAGTGTCCCTGAGACATCCAATGCCCACAGTGTTCCTCTCTTCGTAGGCACAGATGTGTAATCTCTTCCAACGTCAACTAATATCTGTAAACGGCTTTGAGTGGATCAGTTACATCTGGTCGGACACTTTTGTGTGGGTGGTTTTTGCTGCCATACTTTTTGTCCTTGACATATTACAGTATGGTTTTGTTTGGACATGTTTGTCTAAGTGATATTATTAGCAATGCAATTGACAGCATCATTTTCATTGTGATAATATAATTGGTGCTAGAGCTATGAGAGTAGGGATGAGTGATGTTGAGGGTTTTATGTTCCTGAAAATCAGAAGATTTCTGTAAAATGTTTCCATTGTAGCAAATGATTCAGTGGCAAAGGTGAAATGAAGGTGTTTTTATTTTAAGAGTACAATGGGCTTTAATTGGCTCCTGAGGGGTACGGAAGTTCCTTCAATGTATCCCGGACCTGTTCTTGTGACAAAAACGGCCACATATTAGCCTCATTATATAACTTTTTGTGTACAGAAAGGAAAATAAAAAAATTTAAATGATAGAAAACAAATAATAATCAAAAAAGAAAATACACAAAGCAATAAAGGATATGAGATAAACGATCCTATATATACAAGCACATTTTGCAATCAGCTTAATAAGAAAATTTAAAGTTTCCATTTCAACTAAATTGAAATCAGAAATTTTACACACAAAAAAAACAATTTTGCAGAAACTCATCCCTATGTGTAATTGATCCTTAGGGATAGGTTTACAGTTTGGAGTTAGGTTGAGGGTCTGTTCACTATTTATTTAGTAAACGAGTGAAATGCTGGTAGAATTTTCAGAGATTGCTCATTCCATTGCTCTCAGTTGACTCTATTCACACAAGGGCGTTGTGCTTTGGGACGTTTTGAAAATTTGCTGCATGCAGCATTTTCAAGTTTTCTTACTTCTCACTGTAATCCATAGGTGTTCTTACCAGCGATTTTAGTGCTCCAAAACACCACCTAGTGTTCTTCAACACACACAAAAACAATCTATAAAATGCTTCAAAAATCTATAAAATAATCATCAGGTTCTACAAAAGACTTTAAAGTATGTTTATAGATAACCACTGGCCAAAAATGTTAAAGAGCTTCCGGTATAAATGGGGTATATGTTTAGCAGTTTGGTCAAGGTATGTGTGTATTGATTCAGGTAACGGGTAGGTTATGGCAAAGCATTCAAAGTAAGGCTCCGTTTAAAGAAAATCGTCACTGAGAGAAATATGTAGACTGCCATTGCTAACCTTCATGTGCCTGGCTGTCATGCTGATCCAGGGACTTCAATACTTTCTGAGTTATTGACCAGGAACAAGTATGCGGATCAAGGGTTCTGAATTCACTCCATTTACTTAGTATTTGTTCTGAAAATGTTAGCCTACATATTTCTTTCAGTACCGGTTGAAGGTTACTGGATTGGTTGAGGATTAGGTTAATAGCTATGGTTGGAGTTAAGTTGATGGTTATGTTTGGGAGTTAGATTGAGGGTTAGGTGTGGAATTCCTATCTCCCGATGCCCGGGACATTCAGGCGGGTAGTTGTTTTCTACATTTAGCATTGCTTTGGGCAAGCAGAGCTAAATTTATAGCGGGGAATCCACTGCTTGTTTTGTACAAGCGATCTCGGGGATGTCGCCGAGATCACTTGTATGTAGCTTGCAGGTCTGCCATTCTCCATGGGGGGGAGGGGGGTTTGTGGGTAGGGGGGCGCATTGAGGAACCTGGCCTTGGGGCAGCAGAGAGAGTAAATCTGGCCCTGACTATGTGAACTGACTTTTACATTCATACCTACATACATACATACATGAGTCTGAAAGATCCAACCCTATAGTGAATTGAAGTTAAATTGATTGATAAATTAGCAAAAAAGACATGGGAATGCAAATACTAAATGTGTTAGGATTTTGTGACTTTAGGCTTTTGAAACCTTTTAAACATGCTTTAAGTATTGATCTGAAGAGCGGACCTATATTGAATGTACAAGCGAAGTAAAATAAATAAATATGAAATCAGATAGAAGTTGTACTGACAGTCTTACCTCTACTTCCCTGACACAAAATGTATGCGGGGTGTTTAAATTTACCTGTGCGGTCCAATAGGCACCAGAGTTAGACCTAGTGCTCTTAGTAATCAGCACTTAGTAACAGACCTAGTCAGACACGCCCCCTCCCTTCCTTTGCTGTACAATGTGAGCACTCTTATAAGGGGTGTGGCTGTTACTCAGCTCTGCCAGCATGGAACACTGGAGAGATGAGCAGGAAGCAGTTTTTTCACTGGGAGAAATTAGTTTATGTCATGCATTTTCAACAGGCATTTTCAACATGCATTTCATAACAGGCAGGGGTACAGGGCTATAAAAAGATTTTTAAAAAATTACACTATATGTGGGCTTTAAATAAGAATTGATGACATATACATGTCCGTCTTAGGCAACATGCAATAACATTACCGCGCGTGTGTTTAACACACCACTGCGGCCCAAGCTGATGTAAAAAATGCATTCACACTTTCTGTTTGCATGTGTTTTTAACGCTACGTTGAGGCGTGTTTGTAACACACATTCGAATTCATTGCCCATGTCCTCGATAGGCCTTTTAATTCACACTGATGCATAAAAAAAAAAAATAACATGAGCGACTCCACCTTTAAATTTTTACATTGGAAAGAGAAGTATCACATGATTCACTGGACAAGAAGCAGAAGTGATGCAACATACCGTACATTGTCACAAGCATGGGCTCGGCTAATATCAGTAAAATATCCTTTATGTATTAAATATTGCAGTGCATATAACAACTACACATTCACATGAGAAGACTACGGTGAATCAAAGACATGCAAGGGGGGAAAGCATGCAATAATCAATGTGACTGAACCCCCTGTGGGTGCAGAAGAGGTTCCATGGGGCCTCCGCTGTCCCACCAATGTCACCTTAAATGTATTTTTCAATGCAGCTCAAATAATTATCTGAAATCTGTGTACTGTCACTCTAACATATTTCAGGAACTTGGAGATGGAGGGGGAGGTCTTTGGGCAGCCTATAGAAGTAGAGAGCACAGGGAGGGTCTTTGAAGGGTGGTGATGTGTCTGCGTAGCCCTGTATAAGGGAATCTGCAGTGCTTCAGGTTCCAAAATGTAGTGTCTGGGTGGAATGTTCACGTCTAGGCTGGCATGCATGTTGCGTTTTTCCCCACATCTGACTAGTGTCTCCATTGATTTCAATGGGTGCCACATGCGCGTTAAGCGCGAGAAAAGCCGCTCATGAAGCAAAATCTGCGACCTGCGTTCTGCACTTTCCCCCCACTGGTTTTAATGCATGCCAATGTGCGTGGGGAAAAGCATGTTTTCCCAGCCACGTTTAGGGTGCCATTAACAAGCAATAAATAACAAGGCAATGCAAGCGTGCTCTGTGTTTTCGATGTGCGTCAAAGTGGGCATTTTTGTGCACGTGCGCCACGCACTCACACCACGTCTAGGAAATTAGCCACCACTCGCACCATT